CTGGGCCCCAGGGATCTGCTTTCTGGCTATAAGGCCTTCCCTTTGCTTCATGCACATAGCCCCATCCTGTCTTCTGGTTCTGGAGCAAAATGCAGGAGGCTTGGAGATGGCTTAGGTCCTCCTGCCCTGCCAGTAGCCCCAGGAGGGTGAGCCTTTCCTAAGCACACCCAGGCTTCCAGCTCGGGCTGGAGACCAGACTGGGGCTGGGCAGGGGCTCCATCCCCTCTCCTGGTCTCCTTTGTTCTCCAACTGTCATCCTGATTTGCAGATGGAAGGCCAGTCTCAGACCCCCTACGCTGACTGCTTGCTCCAGGCTTCTCACACACGGGCCAGAAGGCTTTTATGTATACGTTGCTTGCCATTTTTCTGATAAAATCCACAGGCCTCTGCTACCTCCCGTCTGGTACCTCTTCCCCCTGCCTCATTCCTTGTCCTCTAGCCATCTTGGCATTCTGCAGTTTCCTCCAGGGAGCCAAGTCTTCTCCTGGCTTGGGATCCTCACCTGAGCCGTTCCCTTGAACGGCGAGCTCTTCTCTTGTGTAGGTGTCCCTTGAAAGCCTCACTTTGCCAGAGACCTCTCTTGACCTCAAAACCTAAATGAGACCGCTTTCGTAGACTTTTGTATTTGTTCTCAGCGGCCATCACCATTTGTAGGTACCGCTGATCTGTGATGATTTTTTGTGCATCTCTCTGAGTGAGCTCCACAAGGGAGCCTCCTTCACCACTTGGGCACAGAACGACTAAGACGTCATAGAGGCCCACTGGCTAAATTTTATGAACCGAGGAGTTCCACAGAGCACTCGTTCTGCAAATTTCTCAGGGGGCAAATAGGTCCCACGGTCAGATGCAATCCGGATGTGCCCTAGTCTGTCTCCCTGTGGAGGGTCATAATATACGTCCGTGCAGGAAACTGAGATGCACTCCAATTAGAACACAAAAAGCCAAAAATAAAACCAAAGCTGTAGAAAGAGAGTTTACTTTTCTTTAGCCTCACATTTCCCAAACGTATTTGAATGTGACATTTTTTTCACTTAATATCTACTAACATCCTGCAAATGTACTCTAAGACCTGCTTCACTGGTGGCTTTGGACTTGGGAAGTCCGAAACTCCAGATTGTCAGGCTTGGTGTGGCGGCTGCTCATCCTGCGCTGAGCACCCTCATGGATGCCCAGGCATGTACTCGCATCCGCACTCACCACCCTAGTAAAGCAGGGGGGCGTGAGCAAGTTTTGGAGCTAGCCTGGGCTTAGATTTTTCAGGGAAAAGAGAGGAAAAAACAGTCTAAATTTGGTGTTTGCAGATATAACTTGGTGTTTGCAGATACGATCTTTGGAGTTATAACAGTGAGAAACCTGCACATACGAACATGTCTTTTGCTGAGACTTGAATCTGCAGGTGTTGGGAAGCTGGTGGGTGGGCACGGGTCCCTTAGTGGCTGAGAGAGTCTACCTCCTACATGGCATTTCATTTCAATTCAGTTCTCCTGTTCTTAGTATTCTCTTGAATTTTCCAATAGACCTAAATGAATTTTATGGCGGGGGGGTGATTGCATGCCATATTAGCATGAGCGGAGGCTTCAGGACCTATCCCTCTTGAATAGCTAGGATGTTTTACGTAGGTAGGGTTCCTGAGGTGGAGGTGTAGTAGATGCAGTGGGTCTCAAATTATTTTTGATCAGCCCCTACTTAGGGCAAAACTGCTTGACCTACAGACTCCATCTAGTCTCATTTTCCAGTGGAAAAATAAATTAGTGATAATTTGGGGGAAGTGGATTATGTATACATTTGCTTTAGCACTGGAGTATGGACAATTCATATTTGGACCACAATGTATACATGTCTTAGAGTCTGGTTATTGGAAAATTATAGTTCCAGAAGACTTTTGATGCAAATAACTTTCAGTACGCTATGTAGGGTTAACCAAGCAACCCACAACAAAATAAACTGATAATGATAAAGCCAAGCTAACAGTAATTCATAATTAGAAAGGACTGACTGTAGCCATTGCAAATCACAACCAACTCAAGGCCACACTGATGAAGTGCTGATAAAGAGCCTTCTCCCAGATTTTGGGCGCGTCAACTCTGGGTCTGCACACGGGAAATGGGAGTTTTCTGATAGAACAGAGGAGCATTGCTAGGCTTGTAGCAGAATCCACACAGTATTTAGTAACCATTAGTACTTTCTTAGTCGACTACAAATTAGTAGCCGTAGTTATATGTACAAATGAAAACTTAATCAAACGGTACACATTCAGCATAATAAACTAAAGGAGGCCTTTCAAAAAAAAAAAAAAAAAAATTCAGAGGCCACCTGAGAATGTCTCTGGTAACATACCCCTAACCCCCAACCACTACCCACTAGATCACAGTTTCAACTTTTGAGATCACTGTCTAGGCAGCATTCCCTCCTTCCCGGGGAGGGCTTTCATTTCCTAGCTCAAGCAGACCAGAGATGTGCATTTGGATTTATAAAGTATTCATAGTCTCACTTGAAAAAGTTTTAATAACCAGTGTAAATCTTCAAGATACAACGTTAAGTGAAAAAAGCAATGTGCATGGCAGTATGTATAATAGGCTATTTATGTAAAAAAAAGATTTTATATGTGTGTTAATGCTTTATGTGGCCTGAGAATCTCTGGAAATGAATATGCAAAACGGATTCAAATAGTTGCCTCTGGGGAGGGTTATTGGCTGCTAGGGGAGGGGAGGGAGGCAGACCGGTTTTTTACTAGATACCCATTCATGCTTTTTGAATTTTGTACCACTTATATATGAACTATTAAAAATATCAATGAATGTAAAAAAATAAAAATATCAATGAATGTAGAAAAGGCACAATAACAACAAAAAATCCAGTAAGCCCACAAGAGACTTGATTCTTGGTTTCTTTTTCTTTCTTTCTTTTTTTTTTTAAGAGGTGAGGCTGAAGTTTGGTTTATTTATTGTTCTGATGCCTTTCTCCACCTCCAAAAACACCGTTGTGTATTAAGCAGGAGATTCTAGAATCTAAAGGAAAATCTCCAGGCGAGGGGAGATGACAGACCCAGGCCCTAGGCCTCTGGACTGAGGCAGAGACCTCCATCTGGTTATTTAAAACCTTCCCAGTGTTCTGATGTGTTTCCATTACCATATAAACGCAAAATACAAAAGGGGTGCTCTTAATGAGGCCCCTTGTACTTTGTACATTTGCAGCTTGAATGTAAAGAAAAAAGGACAACAAAGGAGACAAAATTCGCACAGCAAAGCATGTTTAAATGAATGCATTCCTCTTATTTCATCCCGCTTTCGGACTGCTCAAAGAGACAAAGCAATGGTTTACCTTGATTTGCTATCAGGAATTTAAATGAGCGCAAAGAGAAATATTACACTATTTAGTGTTTCCTAATGAGAAAAATGTAATATTGCGTTAATCATGTAAAAAGAATTGTGTTCTTTTACATAAATTGGCACAAGAGAGTGCATTGTCTTTCTATCTTAAAAGCTCATTATATGCTGAGTAACAATTATTTCTTAGAGCAAAATATCCACAGAAATATGTGGTCTATCTAAACTTTATGGGTTCGGAGTTACAGCAGGTAGACAGAGCAGGAAATGTTTCGAAGCTGGAAGGAAATGTTTTGGACAATATGGGAGGCCTAACTTGGCGGGGTGGGCGGTGATGGTGATAGAGATCAAAATTAATTCCTCTAACTGGAGGTGGGCTTTGGGCAATGATCTGAAAGTAGTGACAAAGCAGGCACAGACTTCGGGTGGGTATCTAGGCTGGTGTCCATCTGGCATATTTAGGAAAATTCTATAATGAAGTTGTAATAACAGAATGGTTATTATTTACCCCAAGGCCTTAGGCAATTTAAGGGCAACTGTTAAGTACCATAAGCCCCAGCTCTCTGTCTGGGGGTATTCCCCCCCTATGTCAGGTGTGCAAATGCTTCCCCACGCTTCCTGTCCTTCTGGGCCCTCCCAGTTCAGCCCCTTTCCTATTCCCAAGGAACGCAGCAGCCTGGGACAAGCAGAGCCCTGTATTTCAAAGCTGGGTTCACGGAGAGGGGATACAAGTAACCACAAACCCACGAGTAAACCCACGCAAGGAGACTGCTCGACTTGGGTCTAAATGACTTACATTTTTCCTCGCCTGAATTAGCTGGTAACTGCATGTGGGCAGACTTAGCCAGAAATGGTCTAAATGATCAATTAGAAGGCAAAAAGGAGTTCCTTTCTTTAAAGTTCAAGGGTGCCTGTTGAAGAGCCCTACTTCCTAAGCCCTGCTCATATGGGCCTGCACCCAGCTCTCCATGGTGCCTGAGTATATTGTACATTTGCCTAATGATAATGAATTGAGTACTTATTTTGCAGGAAAATATAGGGCACTCCCATTACATGCAATCAAGCAAAAAGGCTGCAGAATGTGCCACTCCATTAATTTTAAACAGAATTCTTCCCAAATGTCACCCTGAAACCAGAGTATGGGGTTATTACAAATCTGAAGGAATTAAGAGTAATTTTCATTTGTACAAAGTAGTTGAGGGACAGGACTCCTGCCACACACACACACAATTAATTGAGTTAAATTGGATTAGCTGATGTCTGTGTGAATCACTAAGCCCTGACCCAGCCCGCCTAGTGGTGAGATGGGGGGGGGGGGCGGGGGCTCTGCCATCTTTGAGAGCGCAGGTGCACGCCCCACCCCCCACAACTATAGAGCGTGCCGTGTAATGTGATGGGCTAGTTATTAACAGACATGTTCAAGGAAGAAAAATGCCAGCCTCGGGCAACTCACTGAACCTCTCTGAGCCTCAGTTTCATTGTCTATAAAAGGGGATTATACTACCTGCTTTAGTGGGGAGTCATGAGTACGCCGGAGAGCTTAGCGTGGTGCCCGGCACGTAGTTTGCGACCATTAAATGGTAACTATTACCTTTATTTTCATTTTCTGAGGGAAGTCTCTTGTGCCTAAACTGGTTCCCAAATCACACTGAGGAAATCTGAACCTGGCCCCAGGGTGGGAGCGATGGCCCGTCAGTCCCCAGGGCCTGGGAGGTGCGAGCCAGCCCACTGAGTTACTGAGCCTTTCCTTCCTAACTCCAGCCTTGCTGTCCCTGGGCGGGAGCTGGCTCGGCAGGAGAGCACAGAGCTGGACACGGGAACAAGCAGGCGAGGGCGGTGGGGGAGCGGGCCGGTGTGCCCCTCACTCCATGTTCCGGTACTTGGTGAAGAGGTTGTACAACACTCGGAGTGTGGATTTCAGGTCACAGTTGACAATGTCTGCATAGAAAACAAAAACGCACGTGGCTTCAGTGGGGCCACACAGCCCCCTTCCTTCTACCACCCACCTCGTGTGTCCAGCATGGCCCTGGGGTGGGTGTCCCGCCCCTCACCCCCAGGACATCATCTGGTGCTCCTGAAGAGCTCCCAGTGCTGCTGGCAGAGAAGAGCCTCCCCCACCAGACAACCAGAGGCAGGGGGGCGGTGAAGGCTGGGCAGCGTGTACAGTCAGAATTCGGAGCAGGGGGCAGCAAGGTGCCGAGGTGCTGGGTGCAGGGGTCTCACCTCTCACTGAAATAAAGCAGACCCTGGAGCCTCCAGGCTTTGCTCTGGAGACATCTCCAGGTGGGGGGGCCCCCTGCCCTGTCCCCTGAGTCTCACTTGTGTCCGGGGCTCCTCTGCCTTCAGCCTCTGCCCCTGAGCCAGCTAGGAGTGGTGGGGAGGGGCGGGGGGCTGGGGCTATAGCGGGGGGCACCAGGTGGGGAGTTAGGATGGAGCTGCCTCTCCTCCCTAAGGAAGGGAGGGCCCTAGGGGCACGGAAGCCCACCTGGCAGACAGTACTCAGTAAACAGGTGGCATCAGGGGACAGACTGCTTCCGGTGGAGGACAGAGCAAGGCAGCTGGGTTTGAGGCTGGGAGTTTGTGTTTTCAGGAGAGTTCTGCCATGGGTTCCCCAGCTTTTATACAACCATTTCCTCCCTCCTTCCCTTCTATTTACTGGTCACCTTCTCTGGTTGCCCCTTGAGCCCTCTGCCAGCTCCTCTGCCCTACAAGGCCCCCCTCCCTAGTCTTGTCCCCCCACACTCACTCCCTTGGAGAGCTATCCATGGAGAGAACATAAGAATCCTGTCTACTACTTAGGAGTTTGTATTTCGGTAAAAAATAAGGAAAAGTGAAAAAAAAGCAAAAGGCAAAAGCCCCATGACTATAAAAGTCAGGACAGTGGTTACATTTAGGGAGAAGGCTGAGGATTATGGAGCTGGAAGGAGCACCTGGGAGCTGGATGGTGGTTACACCGTGGCTTGTGGGATGGTACTTCACGGACCTGTACAGTTATGTCTTATGTACCTTTCTGTATATGTGATGTTTTGCACAGTAAGAATTTATTAAAAACCTGTGTAGAAGGTAAGATGAAGTAAATGTTGTAAGAGAAAATAATGCTCTGGGATTCAGAGGTGGGAGAGCTCCCGCAGAGCCACTGGGAAGGAAGGGATTGGGGAAGATGTTGGAACTCTAGCCACGCCCTGGTCAACAGGAACAGGGGCTCTTGGAGATCAGGCAGAGCGGGAGGCCGGTGGCTCTGATAGGCTGGGTTGTAACCCCCAGGTTGGCTGCCAGAGCCAGGAACGCTCAAGGCCCTGGGGCCCAGGCTCTGCAAAGATCAACACTGACTGGGCCACAAGCTGAGGGTCCAGGGCCTAGGGTTCCTCTGACCGCTGCCCTCACCTCCTGCCCCCCTTGCCCGCCCAGCCTCATCCCAGCTGAAACCAACCCTGTTCCACCCCAGCTGGGCTCGGACCCTGCTCTAAGCTCTCCTGCTGATGGATGTGCTCATGGCCTTCCCAGGACCACCTGGGAAGCCTGGAGCTCAGCTTCCCTTTCTGCTCCCATGTCGGTTCAGGCACATAATGTATTTTTTCAGGCACATACGGAGCCTCTGTCGATAGGAGACCCTATCCGGTGGCTCCGCCCTGCTACCTTGCCCTGCCCATCCAAGGCACTCTCCCTAGGTGGAGTCCTTTGCCCGGTAGGCTGATTCTTGCTTTTCCCTGACTGCTTGCTGTTGAGTAGTTCTTAAATTCCACTCAAGTCAAACGTTAAGAAGTTAGGGAAGGAACTGTTGGAAAGGAGAGAGGGACAGAGGTGAGCTCAGCAAGGGAGTGAGCATGAAGGGGAAGGTAGGGACCACGGCAACAGGCTCCTAACTGGGCTCCTCAGAGCCTCTTGCCCTCTCCAGTCCATGCAACCCACTGTAGTTAGACTATTTAGTCTTTGGGTATGGTTGTGCAGGATGTACACTGCACAACCTTAGGGCACGTCGTTCACGTTTCCAGGGCATCATTACCATAGACCACAACATAAATGGTGCCCCTTGAAGTTGTACGGCTCACGACTTGTATGGCCATACACCCATTTCACTTAAGCTAAGGTTCAAAATCCTAAATCATGAATTTGCAAGGCATGATGTGAACCCGGCCCACCTTTCCAGTCTCCCTTCATGCCACACTCCCCTTCATTCACTCTGCACAGGTCACACGGACCTCCTTTCCTTCCTTCCCAATGGCTGCGCTTCTCCATCATCTTGGCCTCTGCACACGCTGTGTGCCTGGATTACCCTTCCCAGATCGTTAACTCCTCATCTTTTGGCAGACCTCAGCTCAAAGCACCACCTCCTTAGGGAAGCCTTCCGGACCTCTGGCCTGGGTAACGGTACCCTGCTTTATGATCTCAAAGCCCCCCTGCTCTTCCTTCATGGCACTCACTCCAGTTCTAAATTGGTGATTTGTGTGCCCATTGGATCCAGTCTGCCTCTTCCCTGGACGGCGTGTGACTTGATCACAGACAGCCAGTCTTGCTTGCTCCAGCACCTAGCCTAGTACCTGGCATGCACAGACCTCAAGAGGTATGAATAGATAGCTAGATGAATGAATGATTGCCCAGTGTCATGCGAGCCAAGGAAGAAAATTCCAGGAAGAGGAGATAGCCAACAGGGCTACATGCTCCTAAGAGGGGAAGACTGGAAAGAGTTCCCAGGGGACACGGCTCCAGCTGGTGGTGTGGGAGAGAGCAAAGCCATGTGCAGGGAGAGGCAAAGTACCACCCACAGAATGGGCGGATGCGGAATGGAGGCAGTGGGCCTGGGCACAAAGGAGGAACTTGGGGGCCTGATGGAGGACAGATAGGGATGGAGGCAGGAGGACCTGTTTTCCCCTTGTAAGGACAGGTGAGCTGTGAGGTTTCTGGAGAAGGAAAATGTCCAATATGATGGGAGAATGTCTCAAACTGACCATTTAATTTTAAGGCCCACTAAGGTTTGAAGCCCATCTTCATGATAGCTGTGTAACCCAGTTAAGTCATTTAACTTCTCTGAATCAGTTTTCTCACTGGTAAAATTGGGTTTTACGAAAAACATCTAGAACACGTTAAGGGCTCCCTAAATGGTCATTCCCTTCCCCTTTCCCATCTTTGCCTGTTAACAGAGCCGCTGTGTACAGCTGTACAGTCTGTGTACTGCACAACTCCGGGGGGTGCCATGCACATAGACTACGCCCTAGGAAACCTGACTTCCTTCCTACAGGCCATCACCTTATCAAGAAAGCCAACTGTCACACAGTTCCAAGCAGGTCAGTAGACGGGCTTTCTCAGCCAGGAGAGGGGCTCTGGATTCCTGGGAATGAACTGTGACTCCATGCTATATAAACAGAGCCTCTTGAAAGCCCTGGCCTAATAAACTATGTGATCAGTAACTCAGTCCTGCTCTGATGGCCTCTGCGTGCTGGCCCAGGGCCCCTCTCTGGCAGCAGTCTGGATGCTGGGGCTCCTATTTAGAAACTACCAGAGCAGAGTCTGGCTAGCTCGCTGTGAGCAGGGGAGAGACCAATCAGACCCCAGGCTACTCCAGGGAGAAAAGAGCCTCCGGCCAAGGGGAAAAGGTTCCATGTTTGCTCCTCTTGCCTGGTGGTATGAGTGCCTCTTCCTGTTCATTAAATGACCATCCCAAATGAGTTCATGGCTCTCAAACTGATGCAGAAGTCAAAGGAAGGGGAAGGGAACTCTTCACAGTGGAAACTCAGTCTTTACCCAGAGGGACAGGGCCCTGGATGGCCATGCCCTCCATGGACCTCCTCCCAGTCTGGGGCAGTCGCTGAGCCCCTTTCTCTGATGCTTCCCTGCTGGGTCCCCAGATCCCTTGAGCAAGGTGGGAAGACAGCGGGCAGCTCAGTGCCACCAGGTGGTGGGGGCTGGAATAAGTTGGGCAGTCGCAGGCCAGCTCCTCAGGGTGGGTCTGGCCCCCTCCCGATGGAGCTAGCTGATCCTGGGTCTCTACCTGGCTTACCTTGCTTCTCCCTATTCCCCCACTGGGCTAGGACCCACCCTCTGGAGATGGGTCATATTGGTGTTGGCCTGCTACCCTATCTGGGGAATCTTGCTATTTTCTGTACATGTTTAAAAAAAAAAACAACTGAAAGGTGATAAACATCCAGAAAAGTTCACGGAACATATATGGGCAGTTTTCAATGCTTGAAAGAGAACCCCGAGGTAACCAGCACCCAAGAGAGAAGCAGAACATTGTGAGTACCCTTGAAATGTACCCCCTCCCTCTCCGCATTCCAGTCACAAACCTCTCGCACCCAGCAAAGATAACCACTATCTGGATTTTGTATTTTATTATATTTTGAAAAGATTTTATTTATTTGACAGAGAAGGGGGAGAGAGAGAGCACAAGCAGGGGGAGCGGCAGGCAGAGGGAAAAGCAGGCTCCCCACTGAGCAGGGAGCCCGATGCGGGGCTCCATCCCAGGACCCTGGGATCATGACCTGAGCCAAAGGCAGACACTTAACTGACTGAGCCGCCCAGGCGCCCCAACGCATGTACTTTTAAAGAGCAGATTTTAATTTTGCCTGTTTTCATGCTTTATATCAGTGCAATCGTGCTACGTGTATTCTTTTGTGATTTTCTTACTCCAAATTATGTTTATAGGATTCATCTATGTCGTGTGAGCTGTTCACTTTTGTAAACTACTTTGAGGTGTCATTTGTCTTATTGAGATAGAACTATAATTATCCAGCTCTATTTTTCTAGTTCTTCAGGAATAAGTGCTTCTCCATTTGTCGTCGATTTATGGTCCACCTTCAGTGCCTTGAAGTGGTCGTGTTGGATCCTCGTGTCCAGTTTTATACTTGCTTTTTTTGTGTGGAAAAGAATCACTGACTTCTTCATGCTGCAGTACCTGGAAGTCCTTTCCCCGACTTCTCAGTTCATTTTTTGTCATTGCTGCGTATTAATCCATGGTCTGATGATACTCCAACGCATCTAGTCTGTTAGGATGTGCAGTCCCGGCTCGGCTACCGTGGCTAGTCTTGGGCTAGTTTCCTGGTGTATGGACACGTAACCTATAAGCGAGGTTACTGCATCAAATGGTGTATTAGTTTCCTGCTGCTGTTAACAAATTATCATGGGTTTGGTGGCTTAACACAACCCTAATTTGTTATCTTAGAGTTCTAAAGGTCATAGTCCAAAGTGGGCTGCACTGGGATAAAATCAAGGCATCCGCAGGGCTGTAATCTCTTCTGGAGACTCCAGGGAGCATCAGTTTTCTTGCCTTTTCTAGCTGCTAAGGGCTAGCTTCTAGAAGCCTGCGTCCTTTGGCTGGTAATCTCTTCTATCCGCAAAGCCAGTGATGGCTGAGTCTTTCTCATGCTGCATCACGCCGACCCTGAGTCTTGTGCTTCCCTTGTGATTATGCCGGCACTCTCCAGATGCTCTAAGAACCTCATCTGAATCACATTTGCAAAGTCCCTTTTGCCATGTAAGGTCACATATTATCAGGTTCTGGGGATGAGGATGGGAGCATTTTGGGGGCCATCCTTCTGCCTACCATAGAAGGTAGTGCAAATCCTCAACTGTATTACGTAAAGACAAACTACTCTTCAAAAACGGTCATAGTTATATTAACACCAGCAGTTTCTGTTGCTCCATATCATTGCTAACACTTGATATCATCAGTTTTAAATTTTTGCCACTGTCTGGTCTGCACACTATTCTCCTCACCTCAGTGAATGGGGGAAAGAAATGGAACTGTTTTTGCTATTTCCAGCCGCTAGCCAAGGCCTTCCCTAAATGAACTGATCACTTGGGCCTCAGCTCCTATTACCTGCCTGGGATTTTTAGCATTGCTTAAAATCTGGCCAAACTTTTCAACTTTTTAAATTGTAGATATTCCATCAGCCTCCTGGCTGATAGACAGGCTCCACTCCTGGCGAGTACTAGATTTCTCCTGAGTCTGCACTTGGCTATAATGCCGGAGTCTTAACCATATTCAGCGAGGAGTCTACTTGAATAATAATGGGGTAGGCGTGTGCACTGGAAGACAGGCGGGGTGATGTCCTAAATAAAAAGCCACCAGCTTTATGCCCAGGATTTCAAGTGCTTCATTAGCCATGAACGTGGTGCTAACATTTGGGCTACTAAAAGTTGAAGCCTGGGCAGCCCAAGTGATCTGGGATGCACACCCAGCTCCCAGGAGATTTCAAGGTACGATGGAACTTTGAATGTCAAACAGCATGGCAGAGAATGCACTTTCCTGAGCTTAAAATCCTTTGCCATGAAAAATGCCTCCACCACAGCCAATCTGATTTTGAGACACCCTCAAAGAATTACCCACATTGGCATCTTTTGTAAAGTCTGCAGCATTTACTACCAAATCTCACTTTCCAGGTAGAAGCGCAGAAACCAGAGGGGATGCTGGGGTGTATACTTCTTACTAAGTACAATTTCACAACATGCCGGTTCAGTTCTCCTTTACGCACTGGAAATTTTCAGCATGGGCATGATGCCCAGTGTAACAACAAATAAAACAGATGTGTTTTTCCATTGCCATGGGTCAGGAAGTTTCATATTAAGCAGTTCAGTCAGTAATTGTACAAGAAATGTCCTCTGAATCCTGAAATATCCCTATAGGTCAATTGATCCTGGGAGAACGGTCTGTTCTGAGGGAAATAAACGTCTGACAGTGGACGTATGGGGGGGACTACTTCTGGTCCGTGACCAGGAAGTTTCATATTAAGCGGCTCAAGAATGTGGAAACAGAAACGCTGGCCAGAACTCTCCCGCTGTCTCTTACTCCGAAGCGGGGTGTTTGTCATCTGACCGGAGGGCTCCAAGTCCATTCCTGATGGCATCAGGATGGCCATAGTGACCTTGGCCCCAGAGGGCCCCTAGAAGGACACCAACCTTGCTAGAGGCCCTCGGCAGTGACCAGGTGCTTAGAACAGGTGACAGCAAGTGAGAATAAGGGATTGGCTTTCGTTGGCTAGAGCCAAGTTATCGAGGTCTGTGACGAGGCATGACACCGGGACCCAGCCCGTCTCGTCACGATCCACGTCTCTCCTCTGGTTTTCCTGCTTTCCCCTCCAGCTTCAAGTAAAAGCATTCCCACAAGATACCGTCCTTAACCTCCTTCTTCTCTCTGCATGCTTTCCTGTTGTTGGGCTTCCACTGAAAGGAAGATTTCCAATTACATAACCGCAGCCCTGATCTTTTCCCCAAACTCTGGTTCTGCTTGGTCAAGGCCTCGGCTTCCTAAAGCTGACATCCTTATGTCCCCTACCAAGCTTGCTTTTCTTCCCGGGTTCCCCAGTGCTGCTGACAGTGACCCACAGCTAAATATCTGTTCTTCACACTGCCTTCCAAAGGATCTCTCTGGAACAGAGCTCTGATCATGTTACTTGCCTGCTTAAGAAACTTCCATGTCGGGTGCCTGGGTGGCTCAGTTGGTTAAGCGGCTGCCTTCGGCTCAGGTCATGATCTCAGGGCCCTGAGATCGAGCCCCGAGTCGGGCTCCCTGCTCAGCGGGGAACCTTCTTCTCCCTCTCCTTCTGCCACTACCCCCCCACTCGTGCTCGCTCTCTCTCTCTCTCGATCTCTCAAATAAACACACAAAATCTTAAAAAAAAAAAAAAAAAGCTTCCATGTCTCCTACTGCCTAGAGAATAAAGTCCAAACTTTCTGCCTTGGTATCAAGTCCCTCTGGGACCTAAACCAGCTTGCTTCATCCTCACCAAGCACTATTCAATTTGTACTCTTAATATGCCAGCCAGATAGGTAACTGCTTACGTTCCTTATCAGGTGCCAGGTGCTATGCACCAGACACCATCAAACTGAATCCTGTCATGTGCATGTCTCTTGGAGTTCCATTTTTATAGACATGAAAAGTAGGCTCCGAGATGGTGGGTAAGTTGCTGGAGGCCACACAGCTGGTAGGGTGGGGACTGGATCCAGGGCTGTCAGGAGCTTAACCACACCCTCTGCTGTCTCACAAGCAGAGCCCCTCCCCCTTTCCCAGGCAGGACTTGTGCTCACACTGTCCTCCTGTTTAGGGTGCTGGCTCCTCCCTCCCAATCGCCAAATACAAAAGCCCTGTCTGATCTTCCTGGTTTATCCCCGGGGCCGCCATCAAACAGTCCTCTGCCCAGACCAAAGTGATGTCCCCTCCATTGTCTCACTCTCAGCGCTACCTCTTTCAACGGCAGCTGTCACCACTGTCATTCTGTTGTGGTTACTGGGGGCATCTTTTCTCTCCCCTGAGGGTGGCAAGTGCCTTGAGGTCAGGAACAGCCCACCCCTCTTGGCATATCACCACTGATGGGGCTGTGTGCCCCTAGACAGCGCATGCTCCCTCAATGTGGAGGTGTGGGAGGCGCAGCAATGGGGAGGGAACACACCCCATCCCTACTTGTCCACTTTCCTTTAAACAACTAGGAAAATGCAAGCAAAAGGGCCCACGGCTGGAAAACAGAATATTATCTGCTACACAGTGTTGACTCACCAGTGCTGATAAAATGGAATATTTCAGTCAGTAAGTCAATAATTGTCCGTACCAAGAAGACTCCCAGGAGAGACAAGGCTCACATATGCACAAATGCACACAGCTCCAAGTGTGAGCATGGGAGCGCTGCTTGAGCAGTCTGTTCCTTGTGCATTTTTATTCAGTCTTATATTTGCAATCCGAACCCAGCAAATCAGGCCTCCTCTTTGGGCAGAGTTGGAGTGAGCAAAGAACAATTATGCTCCGAGCAGAGCTGCCGGTGAGGACTCCTGCATCTCCCCCTGCCTGGCCGGTATACAGCTATGTGACAGGTCAGCACCCTGTCCAGGGACAGAAGAATCTGGAAACTGGGTACAGGGCCATTCCTGTGGCCCCTCTGCTCAGGCCTTCCTCCGCGATCCCATGAGTGGGATCTTTACTTGCAGTTCACAAAGGATCTCTAGGCCTGAGCAGCTTCACCCTGTTCCACCTTCCCCGACACATGGCAAAGAAGATTTCAGAGAAGAAACCCTTGCCCTGATGTCAAACATGAGGCTTGCCCTGTGCCCTGAACACCCATGTGCAGGGACAGCGTCTCTCAGTCCTGTCACAAACCCAGGAAAGAGCAAAGTACCTTCTGGCCGTGGCTTTGGCTTTTCCAATCCCCCGTCTTGCATGAGCTCAAAGGCAAAGGAGACATTCAAGACCTGGGAAGAGAAATGTGCCAGTGTCATTGTGCCCGGATTCCTGGATGCTTGGGGCTCCTGGCCCCTGACCCTGGGAAGCGAAGGAGCCAGCACTACAGCCAGAGGGGCAGAGGCTGAGTAAAAACGGGGCCCTAATGTGAAGGAGAAACAAAGCTACCAAGATGGGCAGGCTGTGCGGAGTATAGGCTGGCTGGACCCAGCTGGCTGTTGGTGAAACGTTCCCAGAGAAGTTCAAGATCTTCTTCCTGGCCTACTGTGTTCCCGTGTCAACTACCAGGACTTTAAACTTAGGGATATGAGTGTGCACAGTTGAAAGGATCAGATGGCAGGACATGTTCAGGAGGCAGGGAGCGGTTTCTGCTTTGGACCAGATGTCCTTTGTCCAGCGGGCAGGCTGGGGCAGCCCGTGAGAGGCATCAGAAGTAGGCTGAGGGTGAGCCTCAGGTCTGGCCATCCCTGCGGCCACCTTCCTTGTCCTGTCTGGGGAGAGATGAGGCTGGCCTGTGTACCTGGCAGGAGCGTATGGCCAGGGGGCCAGGACCGGATGGCAAAGGGAAGGGAGAGCTGTTCACGATGCTCAGGGGTCTGCAGGTGGCTCCTTCCCAGCTGAGCTGTCCATCAGAACAGGCCCCACATCCCACTGCCGAAGACTCGGGGCAGCTGGGGAGCCCTTGCCTTTTCCCTGCATAGCCCCAGCAGAGGTGTGGGTGGGTGAAGTTGGTGGGACACATGGGCTGGGGGCCTCCCTTGATGGCCCCTCCCCTTACCTTCTGTTCAAAGCTGTCCGGGGTCAGGAAGAAGCTGTGCAGGGGCACAAAGTAGCCCTCCAGGAGCCCCATGAGCAGCACCAGGTACACCCCATCTGCAAACTGGAGGGAGTAGGCCAGGTGAAGGCGCTGGGCCCCAGAGACCCCCCAGGCAAAGCCCTATCCAGGGGGGCTCATCAGTCGCCATGTCGGTGCCCCGAAGGCTACATTCCCAGGCAGGCTGCTGGCCTGGGGGTGGGGGGCGGTGGCCTGAGGCAGGAAGGTCCGCTTTGCAGCAGGCCCGCCCCACATCTGGCTGGTCCCGCACAGGAGCCACCACCCACGGTCTTGGTTTCAGCTGATCCAGCATATATTGACACTGACCATGTACCCAGCCCTGATGTGGCATGGAGACCAAGAGGGACAGGTGAGGCATGGCCCCTGCCCTTGAGGAGCTCCAGTTGGGTGGGGAGATGGATGTGGAGGAAAGGCAGCAGCTACTCTGATGGAGGGAAGCACATTGGCCTGTGTGACAGTGACAAAGGTTCCTCACCCCACTGAAGACAACAGGGAAGGCTTCTGGAGGTGGCTCTGCCCGAATGGAGAGCTGAGGGGTGAGCAGGAGTAGCTAAGGTGGGGCAGAGGGAGGCCGGAAAGGGGGTCCAAGGCCTATGGCACAGTGACAGAGAAAGAAGTCTAGTGTCCCGTAGGCCTGGGCAGTCTCCTGTCTCACCTCTTACTTTATTACTGTTTGAGAGACAGCATGGTGTAGCTGCTGCGAATGTGGGCTCTGGAGCTAGGCCTCCAGCCGTCCTACTTTCTAGCTGGGTGACGAGAAAGTTATACAACTTCTCTGTGCCTCATTTTTCTCATCTGTGGAGTGGGGATGATGATAGTATAGTACCTACTCTATAGGGTCATCGGGATGATAGACCAATTAATATGTGCAGAGTGCCTAGAACACTGTCTGGCATTTAGGCAACACTTACTAAATCTTAACTATTGCTATTACTATCTGGGAAGACAGCAAAGCAATCAGGATACAACTCCCTGGCTCTTGTTGACAAAGCACAACTGTGTGCTGAAGGCCACAGCAAGAGGCTTAGAGCCTGGTCCCTTCCATCAAGGGCAGTTGGGAACCTGGTCTGAGGGACAGGAGATTCCTGGGCTAAGTGGGAGGTGCAGGTCTTGTGACGGGGGGCGGGGGCAAGGAGAGTGTATGCTGGGCAACTGGGGTGCGCTCTGTGGAAACAGTGGGGGTCTGTGGGCTGGGAGACGTTTGGGATGAGTTGGTATTCCCAGAGGTGGAGGATGGCCTGAACAAAGATCTAGAGGTCAGATGCATACTTGAAATTCGAGAACGTTTTAAAGGAGGTGGGGCCCCCAAATCTTTGTGGGCTTAAATCCCAGTTGCTAAAGAGTTCTTAAGAAGTCAAAGTTCTTGGAATCATCTCAAGGAACTTAAAACTAGACAGAATTGCCTAGAACGTGGGCTGGACCCGCTGTCTGAACTCTGCTGGGTGACCCGGCTGGTGGGCCTGTGACTCAGCCTTCATGATGGGTGTGCTGCCTGGCCTTGAACTTGACTTAGGAGCAGCTTCCTCCCTTCATCCATCCAGCTGGCCTTCAATTCCAGTGGGGAGAGCCCAAGCCTGACTCATTCCAGGAGTCAAGGAGAGCAGACCCCCGCATCTGTGTCAGAATCAAGGCCCTCCCACGGAACGAGTCAACTGGGCCTCTTTTTGGTGGTGGCTGGAAGGGACTGAGAATAAAAGAATCCAATCTGTCTACTGAGGGGAGGACCCTGGGTTAGGGTCAGGGTTGCTCAGAACTCTGAGTGCCACTGACCTAGACCGTCCCCCTCCCTGCCCGCTGGTTCTGATGACTTGGTGGTTGAACCTGCAGACCAACCCCAGTCATGCCTGGCAGAGGCTCCCTCTCCCACCACTCCTTACCCAGGAAAACTGAAGTGGGATTCCCAGAACTCATGCTAGCTCTCTCGAGGGCACCTCACTTTTCCAAAGGGTTCCCTGTCTCCCAAATGAGTAGATAAAGCTCACTTTATAGAGTACAGAGTGCAGACACCGAACAGTCAGGGAGAGCTCAGTGACAGACCTGGGAATTGCCTTAAACATAACAGGAGATGCCCACGTCCTCAAAAGAAAACCATACTTGCGAAGTTCATCGCGGATGAAAGGGGGTTGGGAAACAGGGTGCATTATACAGTCTTAAAGTATCTCCTCATAATGATTAGTTATAAGGATGGGGGAAGCTTTACAGTAGAGGAATCTGGTAGAGACTAACCAAGTGACCAAAGTTACTGTCACCAGTAATGGGCCTAATGGACAAAGTGCCTGAGAAGAGCACAGTGTTACTGGGGTTGGAACCATCACTGAAAATGCATAACTTGAATCTAATCATGAGCGAAAATAATTGAGAGACATCCTAGGAACCTAATGACCTGCACTCTTCAAAAATGTCAGTGTCACGTGAAAAAAAATGGCTGAGGATTTGCTCCATATTAAAGAGAGACTGAAGAGACAGGACCATGAGAAGCAGCCTGAGAATATTACGACAACCTGTGTTTCTTTGACTTAGATGATGTTGTCAAAAGTAGTCAAATAGGGGCGCCTGGGTGGCTCAGTCGGTTAAGCGACTGCCTTTGGCTCAGGTCATGATCCCAGGGGCCTGGGATCGAGCCCCGCATCGGGCTCCCTGCTCAGCAGAAAGCCTGCTTCTCCCTTTCCCTCTGCCTGCCCCTCTGCCTACCTGTGCTCTCTGCCTCTCTGTCAAATAAATAAATAAAGAATATTTTTTTTAAAAAAAAGTAGTCAAATATCCACGATTTTGTGTGGTTCGACCTAAAGAGATTAACATCTTGACGTTACAGTTGCTTGAATCTGGTAATTGTGATGTGATTATTTAAGAGCACCCTTGTTCTTAGAGATGTTTGCTGAGATATTTAGGGGTGGAGGGCAGAAATAGACCCTGAATGTGGTCAGATGCTAATAACTGGTGTATGTAGGTGAAGAGTATATGGATACTCGTGAGAATATTCTTGCAACTTTTCAAAATAAAAAATTAGAAAAAAAATCAGCATTCCAGGCAGTTCACCCCTCTGGGAGGAACAGAATGCCCCTCCCTCCTGGGAGGGCTTCAGGATCAGTATGGATCAGTATGGAAAGCCATCCCAGCTGTGTGGGGGTGCGGTACTTGGAACAGTGGCTGCACTCAGGGCTGTCACCCACCTGGGTTTCCAGTTCGGTGACCTCCAGGTTCAGTTTATTCAGGTGCTTGTTCACAAAAGTGATGAGTGTCTAAAAGAGAACCACACGCCAGGCATGAAGATGGAGACCGCTGCCAGGGTCAGACCCTGAAGGCCACCTCTGTGACTCTACGGTGGGGACAAGGACCAGTGTGACAACACAGGACGAGGCCTGGCTGAGGGTGCCAGCAGGGATCCCTGCTGAGCTGAGAAGGAGCAGCCTGTGAGGCTCTTCTGCAAAGCTCCTTGAGTTCCCAGGAAAGGAGAGCCCCCAGGGTTTGTGATCCCATGTACTATATGACTCGAACAGCCAGTTTCAGGCTATGAAAGGGGCAGGAAGTCCCGAGAGGGCAGAATGATAGGTGCAATGTCCTAGTCCAGGCTTGGGGGCAGTGGTCAGAGAAGAAATGACCTCCCTGGGTCCCTCCTTCCAGACCTTCCCAGGGGCAGGTACCTGTGCCCTGGGGAGGAGGGAGGTTTGAGGGAGGAGGCCTGGTTGGCCAAGGGTTCAGTGTGGATGGGAAGGCAGGGTGCTCATAGTCTCAGAACCCCCAGGAGACACTGTCCTCCTGATAGGAGGAGGGGGTGGATAAGGTATCCAGTGGGAGTGAGAATGTAAAGTGTACATCACTTACTCAGAGTGGGAAAGCCCCGAGTTTGCAGAGAGCTGGTGAGGACACCAGTTTCAGGAAGCATGCAAGCTACCGGCGTGGGTTCTTAACGTTTGGCTGCATCTCGCTCCCCTCCCTCCCAGGCAGCCCTTGCTCACCTTTTTCACTACATTGAGTTTGTCTGGCGCGTGGTCGAACAAGGTGTCAAAGGCATCACGTTCTGGAGAAACAGGAAAAGGTAAAGTGGAGCAAAGACGAGCCTCCTGGTGGGGAAGCCCCTCCCCTCCCCCGACCCGGGGCCCAGGCAAGGTGGCCATACCGTCAGCTACAGGCGGGAATTCTTCAGTACATGAAACAATGCTGGAACTCTGGAAGTGGGGCTTGGGGCAGAGATTCTGGATTGATTCTGGATTGATTCTTAGCTTAGGGGCTTTCTCTGTTTCCCTCTCTCTCTCTCCCTCTATGTCCACTTTCTACATTAACCCTCTTTTGGGCTGGGGTTGGGGGGCTCTGTCGGACAGTTTGACTTGGCGACTGGTCCTTTCTCTTCGCTATTTATATCCATTACATCATGATTTAGTCACGGGTCTAAAGTGTTTCTGAAGCTTTTTGGAGGCAGAATGTTTTCCAAATGTCCAATCACCTCACCCCCTAATTTTCAAAACCAGGATAGCCATGGCAAACCTCGCGGTAGAGTGCACGGATAACGGGATTGGGAGCCTGGGAGCCCTGGGATAGAATGTATGCTCTTGCTCTTGAGTGATCTAGTCACTTCAACCCTTGCGCCTCAGTTTCTTCTTCTGTCAAATGCCATCTGAAAACAAAACCTCCCCCAGGAGTGTTATGAGGATGAAAGACAAGAATGTATGTGCATGTGTTCTGTAAACTTTGAAGCGTCTGCTGATCTGAGTTTATTAGCATATTTCAAACGTTATCCATAGTACATATGGGATCGTTGAAAGTAGCAAAGCTGTGCCCCCCCGGCTCCGTTTTCCTTGCTGTAGCCACCAGGCTCTTCAAACTCAGGTGAATTAATGGATAGGATCGGAGGCAGGGAATGAGAAGAATGTCCAGGAGGGACGTGGGCCTGGGAAGCTTGGTGGTCCTGGGGCCTGCCTTTTCCTGCTCTTGCACCGATGAGTAAATCTGGGACTGCCAGAGGGGTGACTGAGGTCTCGAACGTTCACAGACTGTATAAACAAACGCAAAGTTCTGGGAAACTGGAGCAGTATGACGTGTGATGAGGAAAGAGGGATGAGAGTGCTTCTAGAAGGGCCGGACTGAGGGGGAGAGTGGAGTGTCCCGAGTGTGTACGTCCACCTCTTTACTTCTGCAACACACTTAGAGCATGACTGTCCCGCCGATGTCCAGGGCCCATCCCGAGCCCGGCAATGCCAGTGGTCTGGTTACTGACGAGAGGACTGTGCCGCTGCAGCTCGTTTTCCTCTTCCCACCAGGAGGCCAACCCTCCCTACTAAGCCGCCCTGTCACCAGGCTGGTGCAGACACACATGCAGGAAGCAGGCCGAGTGCCTGTTCTTCCCAGCTGCTGCAGAATTAACTAGACCCCTGTGGCAGCCACCAGCACCAGAGGATAATCTTATGCAACTCACCATGCCTTCCGGAGAGAGCCCTGCAGGAAAAGGAGAAAGAAAACAGTATGAGTCTTCTCTCTCTGCCCTTCACTGAAGAGCCCACAAAGCTTCTTTCCTTGGCATTTTATTCTGCACTAAATCTCCAATTGTCTGTCACCTTTACCCCATGACCACCTGTTTTTTCCCTCTGCTCTACAGATATGCTGGTGTTTGCACAAAGCCTGGTATAAATGACACTTACAGGACTATTTCTTGCTCTACGTAAAATCCCACTGTTGCTTACAGTTGAGAAGGAATATCGGACTTGGGGCTGCAACATTCCCAACCGTTGCACTGCCTGGGCTGCTGTGGGCATCTGCTTAGGGACATCGGCTTTGTCTTTCTCCTGTTTATTCTGTGATTCCCGCCAAACTGCACCTGCCTTTGACTCAAAATAGGTTTCTCAAATAGGGCAGGAATTGGAACCATACTCATACCAGTGAAGCAGCAAAGTACTAACAGCACAAGCATTAGAACAGACTACTTAGGTTTAAATCCCACAGAGCCACTTGCTTGCTGTGTGATCTTGGGCAAGCTACAGAACCTCTCTGGGCTCCAGGTCTCTTATCTCTAAAACAAGGATGATAATGGTAAATATCTCAGTAGGATGTTGTGAGCATTACATGATTTAATATGTAGAAAGATTTTAGTGTAATTCCTAGTATACAGTAAGTGATCAATACATTTTTTCCCTATATGTTTTTGGTTCTTATCATATTGGTTTATTGCAACTGTGCATCTATCACCTACTAAATGATAACTTGGGGGTAGTGTACTGGAAAGAATAATGAACGTGGAGTTAACTGTTGGAGAGCCCAAGGACAGCTGCTTCTCCACCTTTGGGATGGGGTCTTAGGAGGTGTAGGCATTGCTTTGTGTATTTATTAGGAGTACCAATAGGTGTAACAGTGCTTCATAAACTGTTATGTGTTGCCATTGTTAGGAGCTGACCTCCACCTTCCTTCATGTCTGTGTGGCAAGATGGCGGAGGGAGACCACAGGAAGCATGACAGGCAGCTGACTGATTACTCTGCAAACCTAAACTTCATGTCCCCTGGTTCAGGAGTTTCTCACAGGCCACGTTCCTCTCAGGTATGTTTTTCTCTTCTCCAGACTGTGAAACAGCAGGCATGGACAAGCCCAGCAAAGGGCGGGGGTGTGGGGCAGGGCTGAGCCAGGGGACATGAAGGACATGTCATAGGACCCAGGCCAGGGAAGTAGTGTGCCTTGTGGATCAGGTGCCCTCTTGATTTCCAAGACTAGCCCCCAGAGTGACATGGAGGCTGCCTGACAGGCTCTCTGCGGGCCATAAACTGGGCATCTTGGGAAGGGCCACTGCCCATCTCTGCCCTACACTGGTCCTGTTGAAGCCACAGGCACATTGTGGTTCAGACAGGCAACACCGGGGACCTCCCTCAGCCACCACTGGGGAAGCAAGCTGCCTAGAGATTGGGCAAGGCTTGGAAGGCACGGATCAGCTGTGAATCCTCACCACCACTCTGGTTAGGCAAACGCTCCCCACCTCAGAGATACAGAAACCAGGGTCTGAGCAAGTGGCAGAGCCTGGATTTGAACTCAAGTCAGGCTGGCTTAGAGGTCCCTGCTCTTTCCGCTTCGCTCTTGTTCAAGGGAACATAGAGGAAAGTTGGGGCAGCAGGGGATGCTGAAAATGTCCTTTGCCTGTGGCCGGGGCTCAGGCCTGCCCGATGATCTCAAGACCCTTGTCCCCAGCGTCCTGCTTTTTCAACCTCAGAACAAACTTCGTTTCCCCATGGCAAACCTCTTACATATTCTGAGATTCCAACTGCTTAACGGAAATGAAAAAAACACCAAACACCAACCCAGCACTCTGAGGTAGAAAAGGGCTTTCTGGGTCATGGCACGTGACCAAATACATCAGATTCAGAAAAGGAAGAAAAACGTCCTTTTGAAGGTTCACACTTTAAATTCAACCCCATGTTTATGGCATGACGATTTCATGCTGGTTGGCTTTTTTGGGCACACTTTTTTCCTGGAGTGCCACAAAATTAGAATTTTTCAATCACGGCTAATTCTCTCTCCCCACGTCCCCACCCAAGTTTGTATCTTAAGCATTGAGAGGCATGTTTTGAATGCATGGAAAAGGCTAAACTATAATCATTGGCTGAAGTCTAATCCCTCTTGCAATCCCAATAAATGAAAACTAAATATCAGCAAATGGATGAATTTCGGAGAAACATCTGTGTTCCATTAGAGAATCGCTGGCAACAATGGTGTTGACATACTCTGTGTTACCAGTTATTTCCTCTTGGATTTGCCGAGACTGGAGGATTCCTTCTCGTTTCTGAAACGGGGGTGGGGAGGCAGGCGGGGAGGAGGAGAGAAAAATATGCTTTAGAAAAATACAAAAAACTGATTAGCATTCCTGATATTGAGAAAGTTACTGGTGTTTAAGAAATGAAACCCAGAGAGGAGATCGCGCCAGAAGCAAAACGAGGCCCCTGATTTCCTGGGACCGGACCATACCATTCATGCTTAAGGGCAATTAGTGTTTATTCCAAGCAAGTTGGCTGTTTCTTGGACGGTGAAATCTTTTCTTTCTTTATTGGAAGACATTTTTGCTGGAAGCAAACTGCCTCCTGGAGTAATCCACAGTAAACCGAATGGAAATGAAGGCCAGGGTGTGTCTGCCCTCCAGCTGGGGCCACAGAGGGTAGGGAAGAAACACATTTAGTGGTGGGGCTGGGGGAGAGGACAGAGGCCAACTGGGAGCATTTATTTATTTATTTATTATTTTTTTAAAGATTTTATTTATTTATTTATACGAGAGAGAGAGCATGAGGGGGGGAGGGTCAGAGGAAGAAGCAGACTCCCCGCAGAGCAAGGAGCCCGATGTGGGACTCGATCCCAGGACTCCAGGATCATGACCTGAGCCGAAGGCAGTCGCTTAACCAACTGAGCCACCCAGGCGCCCCAACTGGGAGCATTTAAACAGAGGGAGAGTTTTCGGTTTTGTTTTTGTTTTTAAGGGATAAATAGGGGAGCTTTTCTGTGAGCTGTACGGTCCTGAGGTAACTGGCTTATTCTCTGACAAAAGAGCACTAAGCACTCTGGAGGCCCTCATGCCTACCCACCCACTCATCCATTCATCCGTCGGTCTGTCCATCCATCACCTGTCCACCTCCTCCCATCCATTTATCTTCTTTCTTTATTTCATGAGTCAGTGTCTTCTCTGTACAAGAACCTATGTTGGACTGAGAGCAAACACTGTGGAACGTCTGACCTAACTTCTGTAGGTGAGAAAGATTTCCAAGAAACAGTCCGGGTTTATGTCTGATGGCGCCGCTCGATTATTACAGCAGGATTCCCCTTTCACTCTCAGAAGTGTCATGTGTCATCAATTATGCGGTCATCCCAGGCAGACAGGACGTGCTGAATGTGGGACAGAAGCAGGCACTTTCGTGGGGATGGTCGGGGACCCCTTCCAATGGGAGGGTGTCCTTGAGCTGGAACTTGGCAGGACACAGAGGATTTGGCTGGACACAGAGGAGAGGCTATTCCAACAGAAGGGATGGCCCCCGCGAAAAGGCAGGTCAGGAGAGCACAGATGTGTCCGGGAGGCTGTTTGGAGGGCTGGTGGCTGCCCTTAGTCGGTAGAGAGTCAACTGCATGCCGGTCTGGAGTTTAAATCTCATTGTGTGGGGATGGGAGCCAGTAAAGGAGTGCTGGGGCTCAGGAAGACCTTCTGATAGGTGTGGGGAGGGAGATCCATTTCATCAGGTCTCTACAGTCCATTCCCAGACACCTACACGACAGTAGTTTGGGGATGGCAAGCGGTCGTCAGGGCAAGTTCATCTACATAGGCAGAGAAGAGTGTCCAGACGGAGCCTCCAAGCCTTAGCTGAAACCTGCCTTCTTGCCCTCCTGCCCAAACTTCCAGAACCTTCTCTTCTATTCCCAGTAGCCACAGAAACGAGAGTCCTTGCAAAATGCTTTTATGGAAGGAAAGGTAGAGCTGGATAAAGGCCAAGAGTATATCTGCACTAGATTAGGAAGAACAGATTATCAAAGTAAAAAAGGAAGTAAAAAAGAAAAATAAGGATATCCTGTAAAAGGGATCCAGTAAGGATAAATCAAGACTTTTTCCCAGTTCAGCTTCAACATGTGTATAATTTTCACATGGGGCTAATGGAATTTGTGTCCTTGTCTTGTGAGGCTCTTCACAGACATAAAAACTCATCTTCAACTTCTTGCAGAATTCATTGCTTTTGTATAGAAAGGAAATCTGGGTTAAGTAACCCCTCATGCAGCATCCAGATTCACCTCGATCTATTATTTGTTGCCTCGAGAACTCTCTCTGGTTTAGTCAGTGTCTTCTGACTAATTCTGAGTCCTGCTTCTGTTCCTGTTTAAGTTGACAAAGCAAGATGCCCCGTAAAACCTGACATGCCTAGGTGCCGTTCTGTGTTACTTTGTCCTCTCTTACCCTCATGCTAACAAAATGGTCCAAAGAGAAATGAAACCGACAACAGCTTTATGATGACCTGTCACTGAGCTCAAAATAAGGCATGAAACGTGGGCTTGCAGTGGCCACTGTTTCCAGAGGATTCTACCCCCTAATCTTGAATCAGAGTCTTAAAAAATATAATGAAATGAATTTATACATTATTGACTGGTGAAAACAACACAGTAGGGATGGTTTGGATCCGCTGGTGAGATGCTGTTGCCAGGATGCTCTGGGCGGGTCACATATCCACGACAGACATAAAATGCTTGCCACAGTTGCGTGCTCAATACAGGAGACCAGTTCATTCCTTTTAGCTGCACTTAGCCTCTGAACCACACAGATCCTCACCTACTCTGACCCTCTCTTCACCCTCTCTCTGCTTCTTAGGTGTAGTCCTGTCTCCTGGCAGGCAGGGCCAAGGTGACCATTCCTATTCTATCCCCTTGATGTTTAGCAAGTTAAGTCCTCAGAAGGTATGGAAGAAATCCTTTATTACCAGGGCATGGCCGAGCAGCGGATCGAAGAGCACCCTCACAACCTCCTCCCCTTCACTAACACCTGATGCCTGAAAGCTCAGCTTTCGTCCTGGAGACTTGGCCTGGCGGGGTCAGGCAAAGCCTACCAGCCCTCAGGACTCTTCCTCACCAGGCGATGGTAGAGCTGCGATGTCGTTCTCTTCTCCAGAACGCTGGCTAACCAGAGAGCTACTTATTAGGAGAGTTCTCCCTTGCAGCATGTTTACTTGAAAAGAACAGAAACAAGCAAACAGAATGCTGACCTTTCCTAAATGGGCACAAAGTTGGAAAATGAAATTGAATTTGAGTATGTAATGGGGTTAGGAGCAGAGTGAGAGAGTCACAGGGAAAGAGCACACCCTCATTGTGGAAATTATACAGCCATATGTGAATGGAAATTCCATCCAACAATCTGGAAAAGATGACCTGAGATCCCAGCCATGCTTCTGAGGGCAGGTGAAAAGCAGCACTGCCCTGAATACAGGCATGGCCAGCCAGGGGCTCTCTCTCAAACACACATGCACCCGTGCACACAGCCCTTCACATGCACAGGTGTCTGTCTCTTCCCAATATCTGTGCCTCATTTGTTTAACCAAAAAATGATTCTCCGTGGCTTGCGGGGTTTACACACAGGGATACACCTTTTCTCCTGACCCTACTGCACACACTTCACAGACATATGCACCTCACACCCTCGAATATACAGTACACAGACACCGTCCTGACAACAACATGTAAACCCCAGGCATATGCCCCACACAAGGCTAGCCCATACTCAAGTATCCTTTGCGCAATAACTGATCGCTGCCCACATGCATCAGGCAGTGCACTCACCTGCCTTCCAACATAGAGCATATCAAGGATACTCAGCATTCATTGCACTATCCTTGTAATACGCTCCCCAGGCTGCCTTAGCTCCCTTACGAACTCAGCCTCTATCCCTCTTTAAGGGCGCAGATGTTTGTCGTGCTGTCTTACCTGGACCACAACCACTTGGATGGAGACATGATCTGGGAGTCGGATTGGTGCCCGGAAATACTGGGACAGAGCAACCAGCAGATGCAAGATGGCTACCAGGCTCTTGGCATGAACAGCTGAAATAAAAGATGATTTAAAAATTAGAGAATCTTCTTCCAGATCCTAGGCAAATATAAGCAGATATTGAAAATGTAGCAGTACCACACCCAATGCACCTTCTACCCCCACACCCCCCCACTAAGGATCTCACAGGTCTCCCTGTTAGGCCCCCTCATTCTTGGCCAAGTCCCATGGAGCTGCTTCTTGGATCATGTTATTGTTGGATTTCCAATATAGTGCCTCTCCACTCTAATCCAAGTTTCCAGTAGGGCCCCTGACAACGCTGAATTTTGAGATCAGATCAGCCCTCTGCCACCCCCATGTTTTTGTTCATTCTATTCTAATAACCATGAGCATGTCTGCTCTGCGTCCTCTTTCCCTTCCCACTTGACTGTGAACTCTTCGGGTTATCACCACTCCTTGGGTCCCAAGGCTCTACCCAAAGCACGTCCTCAATAAATGAACACTGAGTCAAGAACACTGGATCCTTTCCTTTGTTCAGGGCTTACAGTCCCTTGAGGAAGTCATGACATATCTAAAGGGCTCTGTTGCTCTTTTGAGTACTGTGTATGGTCAGCGTAGGCAGTGCCCCTTGGGGAATAGCTGGGAGAGGATGTTTATGACCCAACTAGCTTCTACAGCTACTGAGCAGCATGCTAGATGTTAAACCACTCATACTAGAGAAGGGTGAGCAACCACTGAGTTGTAGTTTTTGCAGCAGCCGAGAGGAGAAAAATGCTGTGACATAATGGGTACACATCGGGTGGGGTCAGGCAGACCGGAGCTTTAGTTCTCAGTTGGTAAGCTCTGTATTGGTTTCCTGCCTACATGACCTTGGGGAGGCCACTGAAGGCCTCTGAGCCTCAATGTGCTCATCTTCATAAATGGGGATAACAGTACCTGTGCAGAAATACAAGCTGTAAGAATTTCTAGAGATAATGAAAGCAAAGCTTCCAGCACATAGCAGGTACCTAGGAATGGTTGATATATTTTTTTTATTATAACTTAGGAGAAAATACCTGGCACCTAGGCAATTAAGTCACGTCAACACTCTCCTCTTTCTTTCTCCTAAAAGGAAAAATTCACCAGGTACTTTACCTGCCTTCACAGTCCTATCAGCCTCATGGGCTCCTCTTTACAGAGGGGCACTTAAGGAAAGAACAAAACATGCTCATTTTGTGTACTTAGCACAAACTGGGCCCATTATTAGGGTGTCGCTCTATCTGCCCTGGGATTGATGAATCTGCTTCAGCAGAAGCTTTAAGAAATCACCAAGAAAAGGAAATGACTCAGACATTCCTTGGGAACTCATTAGAGTTACTTGTTATCACTGCTATTTCGAAGAAGGTTTTCCACTGAGCAACAGCTCCACACCAACATACAGCAGATGATCTGCTCCTAACTCAGCCTTCCAGAAGACATTTTTTAGTTCTGGGCTTTTGGGCATCATCCAAAGTTTCACCCACAGTGACAGCCTCAAAAAAGGCTCCTGGCATGGGAGTGACCTACTGCCAAGGTGTGCTCGCTGCTGGGCAGAGGCATCATTGGGTTTGCCCGTCCGATCAGAACTGCCACACCATCGGTCCGGGCACCGAGGGCTGTAAGGACATTGGCTGACTCTCTCCCTTTTAATGACAAAACATGATGCTAGAGAAGGTGTGGTCAAAAAGGTGGTTCTTACACACTGGTGACCTGTACTTCATCTTGACTGTCTCACTAAGCAACACGGAGCTATTTTATATGCACCATACAGATGCCAGTCTCTTCTGATGAGGGTTCTGTCCTCCTGGGAGTTTTTTCAAAAGAAGTAAATTACAGTTTCTCTCTCCCCACACACTACATGTGCAAAGATGTTAATTATTATGTAATATATCATCATTAAAAAAATCTGGAAAACACCATGTCTAATAACCAGAGGATAGTTTAGACCAGCGGTTTTCAAAAGAAAATTTTTATTATGCAGAGAAACCCTTTGTTTAAAAGCCATTAGGCAAAACAGACAAGAAAAAAAGTACAAGTGCTCTGGTCCCCAAGTCCTGACTGCAGCCCACCCACAGCTGCCTCTCTCTTCAGTGATGTCTGAGTTCCTCCTAGCAAATCATTAGGTTGGGCCAAGCATGGTTTAATAATCACTGCTTTAATAAATTATGGTATACCCACATAATGGAATAGTTTCCATGCACTGAAGATCACTGTTGAAACAATGTAACTATAAATATTAATAATGTAATGTTAAACAGAAACAATAGAAACAATGTAAATATATACACTTAATGGACATACAGATACAATACATATACATATATGTATACATATACACACATATATGCACACACATACAGACACGTGCTTATGGCCAAGACTTGGAAAGGAACATTAAAAAAAAACGAAAACATGGTAGTTTCCTCTTTCAAAAATTTCTTTAGGCTAAAGATACGTCATCTTTTTCCATTAAGACAAATCCTAACAACCTTTGCATATTTGGGTACCCTCCTCATTGTCACCTCTGAGCATGTCTCCTGGTTTTCTCCCTGATGCTAGACAGAATCTAGGACCACTGTGATCTTGCGCTCAAGTCAAGATGGCAATGTGCAGATCTAGAGCAGGGCCAAGGCTGTACTGTATAAATTGGGGACTTAGCCACTGTACCAAGAGCTGAAAAACAATTTCAGAGGAGCTGCTGAGTTAGAAATAGTCCTCCAAATAGGAGTTGTAGTGGAAATATAAATTGGTGTCATTTTTTGGGGAGGCAATTTGACAATATGTATTATGACCTTAGAAATGTACATATACTTTGGCCCTAAAATACCATTCCTGGGTATTTAGCCTGAAGAAGTAATTGTGGCTATGAGTGGAGAGAACTCATCAGGCTATATTGATAAGAGTGAAAAAAAAAAAAAAGGAAAACAATCTCAAAAATCCATCATTAATTAAATAGCTTATGATATACCCATACAATGTCCTGCTACATAATGTTAAAAGTGACAGAGTATTTAATGATCTGTCAAGATATATATCTTCTAAACATATACAGACTGATTTCATCTTTATAAAAATAAAATATATTTACATAAGGATGTATACACACGCACAACTTGATGGAGCACACCACCAGGTGACAGTTCCCGTCTTTGGGTGGGCAGCTTAGAGGAACAGCATGTGCAGGCTTAGTGCACAGGCTCCATGACCAGACTCTCTGGCTCTCATTCCTGGCTCCATCATTTAACCACCTGTGTGACCTTGGACGACAATACTCCTTTAGCAAATATTACTGTGCTTAGTAATCGCCAGTCACTCTTCTAGATTTTGGGAATTTGGTAGTGAAGAGACAAAAATCCCTGACCTCATGAAGCTTACATAAATTGTTTCTTAACCTCTTTTGGCCTCTATTTTTCCATCTGTAAAATGGGAATAGAATTCTTTTTTTTTTTTTAAGTTTTATTTTTATTTATTTGAGAGAGAGAGAGAGAGAGAGAGAGTGAGAGAGACAGCACAGAGGGGGTAGGGTCAGAGGGAGGAAGCAGACTCCCTGCTGAGCAGGGAGCCCGATGCGGGACCTGATCCCGGGACTCCGGGATCATGACCTGAGCCGAAGGCAGTCGCTCAACCAACTGAGCCACCCAGGTGCCTGGGCATAATAGAATTCTTACCTTAGATGAGTGTGGATTATAAGGATCAAAAGATGTAAACTGTTTAGAATAGTACAAAGCATACAGAAAGCACCATAAATATGTTAGAAGTTCATATTTAAATTTCTTTTATCTTCACCTTATAAAATTTTAGTAATGAAAATTGTTGTGAATAGAACAGAAAGAAAAGATTTCCCTAAAGCACTAGATGAAGAGCCTTGGTAACTCACAGCTGTCCCTGACACCTTTATCCTGACTGGAAAGATGAAAAAATGTCAAACAGCCAGATAGGAGAACAGAAGGGACGGAACTTCTCCCTAGGAGTTAGGCCCACCACATTCCTTATGGAAGAAGCTACTGCTGCTTGTAAACGGCATCACAGGGAGCTAGCCACTGAGACAATCACCCCTCTGACCTAGTAATTCATCTCAGTTTTAGAAATCTATCTGACAGGAATAATTTAAGAGAAGCAAAAAGAGACACAACCTAAGACATTCGACTTGGCCCTATCTGATAGGAGCCATAGGCGAGCCCATGTCCTAATAGGATCAACGTCAACATAGGGTTTAAATTTACTATGGGATTATCTCCCCCATGAAATAGAAGCAAAAGTAAGTACAAAGACTACTTGGGAATATAGGAAGTATGATCTAATATTAACAGAAAGTAAAACACCAGAGTGTATGTGACTTCATCAAGTAAAAATAGGCATGGATATGGACAGTAGTGGGCAAAAAATGGAAACAGCTAGATGAGAGTGATAATACAGGGGATTATTTTCACATTTTCCTATAAGAAATGAAGGTAAATGCGAACCAAACAAATCATTAAAAGCCACTGAAGACAATGGTCCTGAAGTGGCTTTAAAAAGTTCCATTCTTCTGGGGCACCTGGGTGGCTCAATCAGTTTTAGTGTCCGATTCTTGGTTTCAGCTGAGGTCATGATCTCAGGGTTGTGAGACTGAGCCCCGGGTTGGGCTCTGAGCTCAGCACTGAGTCTGCTGGAGAGTCTCTCCCTCTGCCTCTCCCCCCACTCATGCGTGCGCTTGTTCTCTCTCTCTCTCAAATAAATAAATAAAAATCTTTTTTTTATTTGTTAGAGAGAGTGAGTGAAAGAGAATATGAGTGAGGGGGGAGGGACAGAGGGAGAAGCAGACTCCCCACTAAGCAAGGAGCCCGATGTGGGGCTCGATCCCAGGACCCCAGGATCATGACCTGAGCCAAAGGCAGATACTTAACTGACTAAGCCACCCAGGTGCCCATAAATAAATCTTAAAAAAAAAAAAAAAAGCCCCATTCTTCTATCTCAGTCTTTCCCAAACTGGATTCCCCAGTAAGTTAAAAGGTGTTTTGTTTTGTTTGGAGGGGTACATGGAGATGGTCCATATTCAGGGAGTAGGAAGTAGGATGACATGAAACTAAGAAGCAGTCTTCATCAGAAGACTTTAATTCTCACGACTGTTGTGGATTTCCAAAATGTAGATGCAGCTCCGACACTCGTCATCAGGTGCTCTCCCTTCCCCTCCCCCCAACACTATTAGCATTCCCAGACCCTGGGGCAGCGTCCAGGGCCCAGGGCTTGGCCTCTCCTCCACCTGCTCTTGGGTGTTTCTGTCAGGCAGCAGATACCCCGTTCCAAGCACTGTGTGCTGTGCACGCAAAGATGTAATTATGCTGCAGGAGGCACCTGGTGTCTCGCCTCCAGTGTCAGATGCTAGAAACTCGCTGAAGAGGTTGTGTCTGGCAGCTACTGGGTCTCTAAGTTGAGGGGTAAAGATTTTCTTTTCTTTCCCAAGTTGGAAAGGCGTGTTTTGTTTTGTTTTTTGGTTTTGGTGGGGAGGGAAGGTGTCCACTGTAAGTTGTATAAACTGGATACAGTACGGTCTAGTACTTAACCCCGTGATACTTAACAGCAGGAACACAATCTAGATCATTCTATTAATCTGAATTCTTTTCATCTATCACAAAGAAGAAAACAACAGAGAAATCTGTTGTTGCCACTGGATTCACCTGATTTGCTGATTTAATGCGGATTCTGTTAGGGACTCATCGTGTCCACAGTAGACTGGCGGGCCCTTAAGGCAGCAAAAGAATGGACAGTTTACACTTTCCCAGACCCTGGAGCTACACTAGCCATGCAACCTGAATTTGAAAATCCTGTTCCAGGGCCTGCAATCTCAGCCAGATCTTTGCTCCTTCTGGAAAATACGGGGCTGAGAGGAAGGGCATGGGCTTAAGAACAGAGCCAAGTCCTTGTACCCTTGCTCCTCAGCTGCCTGAACGTAGGGATCCCCACGTCCTGAAGCCTCTCTGAGTTGGAGACTTTCTCAAAAGGTTGTGCTGGGGCTCAGGAGGAGCTCAATCAGGAGGAGTCTCCTCCTTCTCATCTCCCATGAACTTGCTACAATCAGCCCTTCACAGGAGGGCACACAGGACTTTGTTCTTTTCCCAGCCGCGCAGAGAAGTTCTCTAAGGATGGGCACGTCTCGCTCAATGATAAATGGGTTTGCACCTCCCACCGTGGGCCTGCCAGCTTCCTGGATGGCTTCCTGGGGAAACCCTAGGGAGGGGACGACAGCCCCATCCTTTGTAAAACTCACAGTCCACGTTCCACTTGATGCTCCTGGGAGGAAGTTTCAGGGTTTCATTGATCTTCTCCAGGACAGTCTGCAGCTTTTGCTTCTGAGCAATCTCTGACTGGGTGACTTCAGCAACGTTCAGCTTCTCACTCTCAAGCTTCTCTGGGGTGACAAGGGGGAAAGAGAGCCACTGTTATCTCCAGCCACAGACAACCCCAACTCACACGCTTACTCACTCATTCATTCCCTCACACGTACTCCTGCACTCACACATTCGCTCACTCCACAAGTGTATACTGAGCACCTGCTATGTGAGGGACACTGCCCTCCCCTCATCTGATGGTGGTACTGGTGAGACCAGTATTGTGAGAGTTTGTGACTGTGTCTTGAATGATAAGCTCCCAGGAGCACAGAAGTGGGGCATGTAACCCAGCCTGTCATAATTGAACCCTTTACCACCATTCTGGATTTTTCCTTCTTTTCAACTCTGCCTTCTCCAAGCATACTCTGGGCCCCGACTAGAAAGCCCTGGGTGCCTCCCCTGGGTCTTTTGCACACTTCTGTCTTGTGTATGTATGCATGTGTCATGCTGAATCACATTTATCTGTTTCAAGGACCTCTTTTCCTCTTAAACCCACCTGGAATGTAACTTATTTGATGTGTCCTGTTTCATGAATTCTAGGGCATACTTCCCCCCTCCCCCACCACATTGTAACAACACTGAAATCAGTGTCTTCAGATTGATGACGTTCTATAGTTGTGGTCAGCTAGGTAGAAGACAGGAGTTCTCGCTGTTTCCACGCGGGTGCCTTGGGTCCTAGCTCTTCACAGTGTGGCCACTTCTATGTCTCAATCAGCCTAGAAGAACACTTTCCAAAAGTAGGAAATAAAAATTCTAAGGAAAAAGGAAGTAAGTTACTAGTAATTTAAATGATTTTTCTTTTTTTGAGTGGTACTTGTAAAATGGTATGTTTTAAAATCAATTGTTCTTGCATGCAATGGCATAACCCCATAATACTTATAGGCAAAACACAGTCTAATCATTTCATTGGTCTAAATTTTTATCTGTTAGAACAACTTTTGGATTTCCGAATGGGAAGTGTTATCTGCTGTTGGATTCACCGACTCTACTCTCCACAACTCATTCAGCATTGATAGAACTGACACTCTGAAATAGGTTAAAATGCCTTTTTCCTTCATTTTTAAGGACTACCCTCCAAAAGAATTAAACTTTATGTCAATGATCCTCTCATTGCTTATATTATTTTTTATTTTTCAGTAGTTGTGGCTTATCCGGTTAAATATGCATTGGGTAATTCTTTGAAGAAATTTCTGCAGGTTCTGTGGATTTAAGAATTCTTTTCTGCACCTGGATAGACTGAGCTCAAGCTCTTCTCATCTGTGAAGGCCCGAGTGTTCTCCTTCTCTTCTCTTTAGTTGCTTACGGCCATCATTCTTTATTTCTAAATGTCAGGGATCTAATAAGCCCATATTTAAATGTTCCTCTTGATTGTTTGAACTTGAAGAAACCGTGTGTGCTTTTTCCATTTTTAGGCTGTGAATTCTTGTCTTGGATCCTCTCCTACTGAAGAAATTAAAGTTGTTTGTATCTTATGTCGCAATCACAATTTTGGTAGTTTGGTAGAGGCTGCCCAAAGTGCTAGGTTAAGGAAACTTCTGAAACCTTCTCTTGGCTAAGAGAAAAAGATAACCAGCTTAGGATAGTGATGAGTGTCTTGGGAGAATGCTTGGGGTGGGGGTCAGGGGAGGAGTGGCAGCGTCAGAACCACTCTCCAGCTGGCTCTGTTGTGGTGTATCATTGCCTGTGATTTTTCATATTTATAACCTTCTGCTGGCATTGGACTTCTTAGGTCTCTGAGTCTGTTTTCCAGCTCACTAACTTTTTTTTTTTGCATTGTTGTCCATTCTCTTCTCATTTTTTTAAAAACTGGATTTAAGACATTACCTACTAGAACACTTATTTTTTTCTGTTTTTGCCAATATTTTTTAAATGTCACAATACTAACATAATGCTTTCTTCTTAAAATTAAAAATGTTCTGATTTTTAGCATCTGGCATTATTCAGGAGGAGACTTTTTATGGTTTGCTTATTTCTTTTGCATCCTAATTTTGGAGGAAATGTAATTCTGCTTTACTTTTTTTTCTACTTTAGCTATGCTTTGGGTTTATTTTTTTGCTTTTAATTTTTATTGGATATTTTACTTTAGGCACTGATGTTGGTATAATGTAGATTTGAGTAGATAGAATATCTGAAGTAACCTTTATTAATAGTTTTACATGTATCTTTTCATGTTCACACTCACAGAGAGTTCTCTCTCTTTCTCATTCTCTCTCCTTTAATGAAAGTGAGATTACCATGTATATATTTTTCTGCTACCTTTTTTTCCATTCAAACATATATCATGAGTATCTATGTCAATATATATATGGATATAATTCATTTTTGGTGTGCCTTTTGACCACCTTTACCCACTCTGCCCACCCCCCAACCCCTTACCTCTGGTGACCACCACTCTCTTCTCTGTACCTATGAGCTTTTTTTTTTTTTTAAATAAAGATTCAACATATATGTAAGATCATATCGTATTTCACTTAGCATAGTGTCCTCAAAGTCCATCTACATTGTTGTAAATGGCAAGATTTTATTCTTTCTTTACGATCAAATAATACTCCACTGTATAAATATACATATGCCATATCTTCTTTATCCATTCATCCGTTGATAGACACTTAAGTTGTCTTCATATCTTGGCTGTTGTAAATAATGCTACAGTGAACATAGGGACGCACATATCGTTCAAGTTAGCATTTTCATTTTCTTCTGTAGACAAATAACCAGAAGGAGAATCAGTGGATCATATGGTATTTTCATTTTTAATTTTTTAAAGAACCCCCATATTGTCTTCCACACTGGCTGCACCAATTTACATTCTTAGCAACAGTGCATGAAGGTTCCCTTTTCTCCACATCCTTGCCAGTATTGGTTATTTCTTGTCATTCTGACACTAGCCATTCTGACTGGTGTTAGGTAGTATCTTATTGTGGTTTTGGTTTGCCTTTCTCTGATGATTACTGATGTTTTGCACCTTTTCATGTGTCTGTTAGACATCTGAGTGTCTTCTTGGGAAAAGTGTCTATTCAGATCTTCTGTGCATTTTTAAATTAGATGTATTTGCACCCCCCCTTTATTTTGCTATTCAGTTCCATGAGTGCTTTATATATTTGGATATTAACCCCTAGCAAATATTTCCCTCCATTTGGTAGGTTACCTTTTCATTTTATGGATGGTTTCTTTTGCTGTGCAGAAGCTTTTTATTTTGATGTAGTCCCACTTATTTTTTGTTTATGTTGCCTTTGCTTTTTGTATCAAATCCAAAAAAAAATCATCCCTGAGGCCAATGTTAAGGAGATTAATGCCTATGTTTTCTTGTAGGAGTTTTATGGTTTCAGGTCTTATGTTCAAGTCTAAAGACCCATTTTGAGTTAGTGTTTGTGTATGTTGTAAGATAGAGGTCCACTTTCATTCTTTTGCATATGGCTGTCCACTTTTCCCAATGCCATTTATTGAAGAAACTGTATATTCTTGGCTCCTTTGTCATGAATTAATTGGCCATATATGTGTGGCTTTATTTCCAGGCTCTCTATTCTGTTCCATTAACATATGTGTCTGTTTTTATGCCAATACCATACTATTTTGACTCTGGAGCTTTGTAATACAGTTTGAAGTCAGGGAGCATGGTGCCTCCAGCTTATTCTTTGTCAGGATTGTTTTGGCTTTTCGAGGTCTTGTGTGGTTCCATACAAATTTTAGGATCATTTGTTCTATTTTCTTTTTTTTTCTGGACAATGTGTCTTTATTTTTATCTGTTTATTTTCATTTGCATATAATTGACACAAAATGTTACAATAGTTTCAGGTGTACAAAATAGTGATTCAACGAGTTTATTTACTATGCTATGTTCACTACAAACGTAGCTACCATTTGTCTTGATACATCTCCATTACAACATTGACTATATTCCTTATGCTGTGTCTTTTATTCCCATTTCTTATTTCATAAGTGGAAGCCAATTTCCCCCACTCCCCTAATTCTGTGAAAACTGCCACTGGAATCTCAATAGGGATTGCACTGAATCTGTAGATTGCTTTGGGTAGTATGGACATTTTAACAATATTAATTATTCTAATCCATGAACACAGAATATCTTACCATTTGTGATCTTCAATTTCTTTCAGCAATGTCTTATAGTTTTAAGTGTAAAGATCTTTCGCCTCCTTGGTTAAGTTTATTCCTTGGTATTTTATTCTTTTTTGATGTGGTTGTACGTGGGATTGTTTTCTTAATTTCTTTCTGAGGGTGGGCATCCTTGTCTTGTTCCTTATCTTAGAGAAAAAGCTTCCAGCTTCTCACCATTGGGTATGTGGGCTTGTCATATAGAACTTTTATTATGTAGAGATATGTTCTCTCTGTACCCACTCTGTTGAGAATTTTTATCATGAATGGATGTGGAATTTTGTCAAATGCTTTTTCTACATCTATTGAGATGATCATATAATTTTTATCCTTCATTTTACTAATGTGGCATATCACACTGATTGATTTGTGGATGTGAAACCATTCTTGCATCCTTGGAATAAATCCCACTTGATCATGGTGTATGATTCTTTTAATGTATTGTTGAATTCACTTTGTTAATATTTTGTTGAGGACATTTGTACCTATGTTCATTAGGGATATTGCTGCAATTTTCTTATGGTGTCCTTGTCTGGTTTTAGCACTGGAGTAACACTAGTTTTGTAAAATGAGTCTGGAAGTGTTCCCACCTCTTCTGTTTTTGGGAAGAGACTGAGAAGGATTGGTATTAATTTTTTTTTAAATGTTTGATAGAATTCACCAGTGAAGCCATCTGGTCCTGGGCTTTTGTTTGTTGGGGACTTTTTGGTTACCGATTCAGTCTCCTTACTAACAATCATTCGGTCAGATTTTCTATTTCTTCATGATCTAGTCTTGGTAGGTTGCATATTTCCAGGAATTTATCAATTTCTTCTAGGTTGTACAATTGTTGGTGTATAATTATTCATAGTAGTCTCTTATGATCCTTTGTATTTCTGTAGTACCAATTATAATGTCTCCTCTTTCT